TAAAACATTTGCGACAATTGCATTTTGTCTTAATATTAATAAATGCCTTATCTAAGGCTCATTTAAGCAGAATATAATCTAAAATATTTTTTGAAGCCATTTTTTTAGCAGTAGCAACAAAAAGCATGATTTTGATCCGAAAAGCCTAGCAAAGATTTTTTTTCTTTCCACCTGGTAAATTTTAATATTCAATTATTATTTGAGGCTTCCTGTTTAGCATGATGTCAAAAATCCCTCATAATAATAACCTAAAAATAGGATTCAGACAAAACATCAATGAGTTGACAAATGAAGTCAAATCACTGGAACCACTGAGGATGATCCAGGTCTCAAAATATAGTTTCAATAAACTGAAGATCATTTTGACCAAATTGGACTTAATCCTCAGATGGATGCGGTGAGTCACAAATCAGCAACGTGCGGATTTTCATTTTGGTGTGTGGCTGCATTGAGGTGTAAAAAAGTCACGTGAAAACAGGGTTGCCACAACAAAATCCAAGATGGCCTCCGCCATATATTTCTGTAAAACWGCCACCCTGACCTTTTGAGGATACTATGCTTCCTAGTTTTTACATTGTTTAAAAATYTAGTCTCCTGAAATGATAACACATTCTCACTTGCACCTCGTCACGTATTGACACTTTTCCAAGGTTCCTTCTGCGTCTTATTTTGACGAGTCGGGTAACCCCTACACGTCAGTTATTGATGCACCAGGCATTTCCGGGTTCCCTCAGCGTCCGGTTTTGATGCGTCGTGACACAAAATATAGGGGTCTTTGAGTTAGGGTCCATGTTTAATATTAGGGATCAGGGTTTATGGTTAATTTTAAGTAGTGGTATCAGGGATAGGATGTCTAGGGCGAATAATATGTAATTTTAGGGTTTGGGACATGTAGTTGATGTGAATTTCCTACACTTTCTAAAAATGGTTAATTTTAGGGATCAGGGTTGATGGTTAATTTTAGGTACTAGGGTCAGGGACAGGATATCTAGAGTGAATAAAGGTAATTTTAAGCTTTGGGACAGTTAGGTTTTGTGCATTTTCTACACTTTCTGAAATTATGACAACGGATTCCGCCCCATCTCATCAATAACTGATGCAAGGGTGGTACCCGACGCGCCAAAACCGGACGCAGAGTGAACCTTGGAAAATATGTGATGAGTTGGGAGTGAGAATGGGTTGGAAAMGATTGTGGTGGCTGAACGTTAATCTCTGGTGGTCAGGGCCACCACTGGTCACCRCCTCTGCTCACCAGGGTCTGTCACTTCAGGTTAAAAAAAAGGACAAACCTTTCAGTTTAACTACTACCTACTTGAAAAATGAACCAAAAACCATGAATGTTCAGTCCCTGTTCAGGTCCAGTCCAGAAACACATTTCTAAAACTACAACCGTTCAGTCCTTTASTGACAAGCAATATCAGCGATCTGTGTATAACTCCATCACTGAAATCTGTAAAACAGATCTGATGAAGAAAATACTYCAACCAACCTAGAATTAGATATTTGAATCCTGATTTCTTCACAACACTGACAGAGGCCAAGCTGTTGGTGATGTATTATATAARGCTGCAGGCGTGAGTTCTCTCTTATTATTGTTATTTTTATCTAACAGCAATGATTCAGAAACTAAGAAGGTTGTTATTTAGCAACTTTAASTCGTGTGGATGAATCTGTGAACAGCTTAAATTAGTGCTTTAGCAGCTTTTATTCTGAGTACTACACACTACAGCAACTCAGGAGGAATATCCCAGAGATGCTCTTAAACTAGATTTTTAGATATTCYGGAGCAGATTTAACAAACCTGAACCTGCTTCCACACTCACTTCATTATTCAAACTGTAGTGTGACACACGATGTGTCTGAGTCCAGATGGGCGTCAGCTGATTTCGTCTGGCAGCTCAAATCTTTTTGTCTCTCATCTGAAATAATTTTTTTGTAGACGTTTCCCTCAAATTCATTGAAAGTTGGTTTGGAAAGGACAGCATTTTCCTCATCATGCAAATGACATGTTCATGTTTTTACYTGGTTGGTTCCTTTTTAATTTAGCTCGAGATATGAAAGACTTAATGAATGCGCAAATAAGATTTAATAAGCGTGATAAGAGGCTTGACTGACTGCCTGCCAGCATCGCTGCAGGATGTTAATAAATTGTTTCAGCCTCGGTTATGAAAATGTGTAAATTCTGCCGTTTCCATCTGTTTTCGCTCAGGGAAACAAACCAGCTTGAATTTTAAGATTAGCTTTGTAATCCAAAAAAATAACTGGGGACCATCATATGTTCACCTGAATAAAAACATTTCTGTTCAACAGAACTATGATAAAGACAAAAAAACAACAACACAAACATCACATGTTTTTGTTTTCTTGTGTGCTAAACAATTAAAGTTGACTTGACACATGAATTTTTACTCCTCTTATCATAAAATCATCCTTGTTCAAACTTCGGCGTTAGAAGAAGAAGGCAACAGGGATATTTTAGACAATTCTGTGCCTTTAATTTAAATATGCTTGTACATTTTTCACACATTCTAATAAAAAAAAGCCAACAGAGCGAAGTGTCTCTGAGGTTCCTCTGGTCTTCAGAAAGAGAATATCTCTCTTTCTGAGTTAGAGTTTCACTTCCTGCTTSATCCCAGGAGGAAGTGTAATTTGTTTAAAGAAGCTCTCAGAAATACTGAGCTTATTAGTGCGGCAGCAGGAAGGGGGAGGGAGCTGAATATGTAGTAAATCATAAAGCAGAGGTTGCTTTCATAAAAATAAGATTTGATTCAGAACAGAACCAATGTGATGTTTCAGATAAGAGATGAGAGTTACAGGTACACAGGATGACTCAACTGGGTTCAGTTCCATCTGATCTGTTCACATTTTTACAAAGAACTAAAATAAACTATGACTTCCACTCAAGTGATGTTTTCCTCTCACTTCCTTGTGTCAGAACTGAATTAGGGAAATACACTTTTAGTTTTTTTTTGTTTGTTTGTTTTAAATAATACTGCAGTCATGATGGAAAGCGTAGGGAGGAGGAGCCATGTAACTTTAGGTCTACCGTTGAGGGGTTATGCTGTCTGGTTATTTAGTTATTTATCGAATCATTTACTTTGTAAAATGATTCAAGATAATTTTGGGTTYAAATTCATTGTATTGCTTTCACTGTGATTTACTTAACTCTTTTTGTATTTACTCCTCACTTCTGTTCCACTTCAGTTTAACAAGAAAAGGCTTACTTCCCCTCTTATTTTTTCCAGCAGTATTTAATATGTTTAGAATGACATACATTTCTCAATTTTCCAAGAGTATGTATATACTTGGTTCATTACAACTTGTTTAGGAAAAATTACAACACGATTCAACAAACGCAGCCACAATGTGACAAGAGCAGACTAAAACTCTGCATGTCATCTTCAGCAGTTATGTTTGAATGTACATATATGTCATGTCAAAGTTATCTAAAAACAAGACAGCTGCAGCTGTGTGCTTAACCAGTTACTTTCTGTGTTAGAGCAAATGATGTCATTTGTTTTGGGGGGTGGGGGTGGGATGTATATTGACTGGATCAAATTATTGTGGGGGTCATAACCCCTCTAATCTCCCCACAAATCACGCCCATGGGAGGAGCACACACTCCATCAGACAGGCAGACAGAACACAGAGCTTCAGACTGTCTCTGGGTGAAAACTGGACCTTTTAATGTTTTGTGTGCCGCTCTACCAGAAAATCATCAGTCACACTGAAGAAAGAACATAAAAATATTCATACTGAGAACAAAACAGAAGGAAATTTATCTTTGGTGGATTATTTCTTTGTAAGAATGTCATTAAATCTTATARTGCTGGAAAGCCTGTTGTGTCACTTTTACACACGTTAACCTCCAGATGTTTAGTTGTATCTTCAACTTCAAAATCTCTAATTTTCACAAAAAAAATTATTGCTCTCATGTAATACAACGTGTGTGTGTGTGTGCCCTTGTTTTTGCTGCTTGGTGGAGATMATTTTTCAGGAAAATGCAGCCTCATGGGGACCGAATGRTCRTTGTGGGGACCAAAGCCCGGTCCSRARGACTTTGGAGGCTAATTTTGGGTGTGGGGGTTGGGTTTAGGACRAAGATGTGAATTGAGTTTAGCTTAGTTTTATGGTCAGGTAGGTACCTSTGAGGTTAATTTTACAGTAAATGTTCAGGGTTAGMATATAAAATTTCCAAAAAATGAATGGAAGGCAATGGAAAGTCCCCAGAASGAAAGAGAGAKATATATGAGTATGTGTGTGTACTTYTATTTATTACWTTTTTAGGGTCATTTCTGGTATACACACCTACCTTGTTAAGACCAYTTGTACTTATGGGGACCAAAGACCGGTCCTAATATGTTGGAACTCTATTTTTGGTTTGTGGGTTAGTTAGGATAGGATTATAAACTTGTGTGTGTGAGTTATTTCTAGTGACACTTGTTTTGAGCTTCTGGTTGCCCAGATGCTGCCAATCAGGTTCTAACTATAAGACTTATTGTTACAACAAATAAATAATCTACCAAATTATTTGTACCAAACACTAATTGACTTACTTTTTGTGCTAAGTATACATTTTGATTTATAAACTAGATGAAAAATCTAAAGACGTTTAAACAAGTAAGTGTGTGACATCATCACACCCTGAGATGAACAATCTGTGATAAAATCTCCATAAATTATACAACTTAATGTGCGATTGTGTCAAAAAACCAGTTCAGTCCTGTAAAGTCCACCTTTCTGTGACCCATTTAAACTCAGAATGGTGGTTCTGCTGTGAACTCTCTCAGCACCGGAGGTCCAAACAGGACTGTGTTTTCTCACTTGGTTCAGCTGAGTGTTGTCTGTGGAGGACATTTTTAACAATCAGTGTCCAAACTGTATGGGTGTAATGTTAACATCTGATAGATGTGTTCTGGTTCCTGAGAAATCCTCCCAGGTTTTACGCCTTTGTCTTTTTGACTCTGTGTCTCAATTTGACCTTTTTGTGTCTTTTTCAGCCAACAAGCCCCAAGTTTGGAAAAGCAGATTCTTATGAGAAGCTTGAAAAGCTGGGAGAGGGATCATATGCCACAGTTTACAAAGGAAAGAGCAAGTACGTATGATCATCACCTGCTGCCCAAAGGCTGAGGCAGATGATGTTGTTAATGCAGTTATCTGTCTGTTAGCAGAATATCTCACAAAACAATGAACAGAGGGATGAAATAAATTAAACGTATAATATAGTTACCAACACAAACGGCTGTAAGTCAGTCAGTGTTACAGACATTGAGCTGGAAGTTGATGTGGTAGTAGCTGGAAGTCATTCACACCACATACTCTGAGTGTTACATCTACTGTTGAATGAATAATGATAAATATATCAGTGAATTATTTCTCCTGTAGTTCTATAAACCTCACACACAGTCAAGTTTCTTTGTTTTAATTACTYGAAGAAGAAGGGTTTTATTCAGTCTGTGTTTAATGCTTTGCTGCTTTTCTCCTCAGTTTTCCTCATTAAATTCTCTGGAAAGTAATGTTCTCTCTCAGTAAATGTACAAACCTCCACAGACCGTAATCTTCTTAGTAATGATGTTATTTTTCTTCACTTCAGCTGGAGTCACGTCTCACTCRACTGCTGCTGAATTACATTTCATTGACTTTAATATTTGTCCTGTTCTTTGGCTTCACTGCTTTAATAGATTTTGCATCACAAAAGAACTTCAGCACATCACAATATTTCTGTTGTCATCAGGGTGAACGGCAAGCTGGTGGCTCTGAAAGTCATCCGCCTGCAGGAGGAGGAGGGAACACCCTTCACCGCCATCAGAGAAGGTGAGGTGTTTCATTACACTTAGGTCACAAGCTGAAACAATAAAAAGTCAGGTCACAACATGAAACAACATGTCAGGTCACAACATAAAACAACACAACATGTCAGGTCATAACATGAAACAGCATGTCAGGTCACAACATAAAACAACATGTCAGGTCACAACATAAAGCAACACAACATGTCAGGTCACAACATAAAACAACATGTCAGGTCACAACATAAAACAACATGTCAGGTCNATCACAACCTGAAACAACATGTCAGGTCACAACATAAAACAACATGTCAGGTCACAACATAAAACAACATGTCAGGTCACAACCTGAAACAACGTATCAGGTCACAACCTGAAACAACATATCACGCCACAAAGAAGACAGCAGATGATATGAAGTATCTGTCTGGTTATCAAAAGAAGGAAAAGGATGAGGATGACCATAGAATCAGAATAAAATCTTCTCTGATGTTTCAGATTTAATGTTTTTTTAAAGTACCATTTATTTAGTTAAACACTGAATCCCTGGAACCTCAGCAGTTAAAATTTATCAAATCTATTAATAAATAATAATTCAACAATTGTTTTATTCTTCACATTAAAAAACTCACTCAGTCACAGAGGTCTACTGAAACTAGACAAAATACATTTTCTGTCAAAATGCAGTGTATTTTAGGAGCTCAGTGACTTTCGCTAAAATTTACTAAAGAAGCTAAAGATGACTTGTTCAAACTAAAAGAAGCAGAATATCAGCTAAAGGCTAAAATAAATAAAACCCTAGTTAAAAGTCAAACATGTTAAATGCTACCTAAGCTAAAATTTGCATAAAAAGACAAGCCAGGACACTCAAGCAGATTTTAACGTCTTTTCAGTGTTTCCCCTAGGAAATTGGACTGGGTGGGGGGGTGTTACTTGTTTTATAAAAACATAAATTTGCGTGACTCACCTGCGATTATGGTAATAAATTTACACACACATGAATATTTAATTGCCT